TATATTCTTTCCTATTTGGGTGGAATGTTCTATAGATGTCTGTTAAGTCCATTTGCTTCATTACCTCCAATAATTCTCTTAATTCTCTATTAGGTTTCTGTCTGATTGACCTGTCCCTTGGAGAGAGAGGTGTGTTGAAGTCTCCTACTACTAGTGTGTGTGGTTTGATGTCTGCCTTGAGTTCTAGTAATATTTCTTTTACATAAGTAGGTGCTTTTATATTGGGGGCGTATATATTCAGGATTGAGACCTCCTCCTGATGAATTGTTCCTGTTATGAGTATAAAGTGACCATCTCGGTCTCTTCTGATTGATTTTAGTTTGAAGTCAGTTTTGTTAGAAATTAGTATGGCCACACCTGCTTTTTTCTTAGGACCATTTGCTTGAAACACCTTTTCCCAACCCTTTACTCTGAGTAGGTGCCTGTCTTTGTGGTTGAGATGTGTTTCTTGCAAACAGCAGAATGTTGGATCCTGTTTTCGTATCCAATCTTTTAGCCTGTGCTTTTTTATAGGTGAATTGAGCCCATTAATATTAAGTGATATTAATGACCAGTGGTTGTTTACTCCGGTTATTCTTATTGCTTTTGGTAGTAGAGATTGTCTCCCTTTTTTGAGATGTGCTCGTGAAGGGTCATTAGATGCCTGGGTTATTGTAGGCAGTGTTGGCAGTGTTGGATTCCTTGGGTTGCGATTTTCCTTCTATTACTTTCTGTAGGGCTGGATTTGTGGCTACGTATTGTTTAAATTTGTTCTTATCCTGGAATGTTTTGTTTTCTCCATTGATAATGAATGATAGCTTGGCTGGGTATAGTAGTTTGGGTTTGCATCCATGGTCTCTTAGCTTCTGCAGAACCTCTATCCAGGACCTTCTGGCTTTCATAGTTTCCATCGAGAAGTCAGGTGTAAGTCTGATCGGTTTACCTTTATAAGTTACTTGCCCTTTTTCTTTTGCAGCTCTTAATATTTTTTCTTTAACCTGTATATTTTGTGTTTTGATTATTATATGGCGAGGAGATGTTTTTCTTTGATCCAGTCTGTTTGGTGTTCTGTATGCTTCTTGAATATTTAAGTGAATATCTTTCTTTAAGTTGGGAAAGTTTTCTTCCATAATTTTGTTGAAAATATTTTCTGGGCCTTTGAGCTGTGACTCTTCTCCTTCTTCTATTCCTATTATTCTTAGGTTTGGTTTTTTTATTGTGTCCCATAGTTCCTGAATGTTTTGTGTTGAGAATTTGTTGGCTTTGCTGTTTTCTTTGATCTGTTCGTTTATTTTCTCTATGGTGTCCTCAGCATCTGAGAGTCTTTCTTCTAGCTCTTGTGTTCTATTGATTATGCTTGTTTCTGTAGACTCTGCTCGTTGGCCTAGATTTTCCATATCCAGCTGGTCCTCAGTTTGTATTTTCTTCTTTGCCTTCATTTCAGTTTTCAATTCTTGAACTGTTTCCATTACCTGTTTGATGGTTTTTTCTTGGTTTCCCAGGGTATCATGTACGTATTTACTCATTTCTTCAAACTTTTTGTTATACTTCTCATCCATTTCTATAAGGGCATTTTTTACATGTTGTTTAAGGGACTCTATTATCTTCATAAAGTCGATTTTTTCCATTTCTTCTGTGTTAGGTTGTTCAAATACTTCTGTTGTAAGATCATTGGGTTCTGATGTTTTCATGTTGTTTTTCGGATTATTGGGAGAATTCTTGCCTTGGCGCCTGCCCATCTCCTCCTATTGATCCTATCCAATGGGTCCTTTAAAAACCGGATCAGGTTTCCCTGCTGGCCAAGGGCTCCGCTTACAAAATGCCCTCACTCTCTTTCGTGGTTCCTGCTGCAGGCCAAGAACCCTCTCACCCCTCTGAAGGATCTTCAGGACAGGACCAGGCTCCCCTTGTGCCAGTGACCTGGCCAACCAAAGGCCTACCTCTTTGATTCGATTGTAGTAGGGCGATCTGCTCTCCTTATTGCACGCCTGTTCCCGCCGCTTGGGTCTGCCTCTGCGCCGGTCCCCGAAAGCCTCTTCCTGTATGCGGTGTTGCGCCGCCGCCGCTCCGCCGCGTCTGGCCGCCGCCTCTCCGCCGCGTCTGGCCGCCGCCGCTCCGCCTCTGTGCGTCTGGCCGCCGCCGCTCCGCCTCTGTGCGTCTGGTAAATGATTTTCTTATTTGCTTTATTCTGTACTAGAAAATGATTACAACTTTGGATAGACTTTTGAATCTTTTCAGGTGCCTAAATCATAACTAGATGTTATGATTACAGAGTTTGCAAATCTTTAGTTGATCCATCAATAATCCAGATGCTAAGGTCTATAAGAAATTTTGACTCCTCATTTGGACCTCTTGGAAAATCTTCCTATGAAATTGAATGACTAATCCCTTTGCCAGGAATCTGAGGCATCTGAATTGCTTTAAAGTACATATTGCAAATTTCTGGTGATAAAATATTAAAATACATTGCTCTGAATAAACGATTATATTATATATAATATATAATATATAAAAGATATTATGAGAATTAGAATAGTTATCAAAAAGCAATGCAAATTATAACTGATTTCTTCACTATTTTTTAATTTTTTCCATCTTTCTTCTTCCTGATGGTTACAATGAGCTGGCAAACATCATCACAATTCTTAGTTCCCAGCCACACTTCCTTCCTGCTTACCACTGCTTTTTCTGAAATGATCTAAACAAGACTTACCTTTATTTTATAGTAGAACTATTCTTTTAGAGTATCTTCTGTGGCAATATCTGTCCTGTTCAATTGTCCTCTGCATTTGGTATGAATTGAAAGCCTTTAAAGAAAATTTAGCAGCCACATAGCTAATCTATAAACTTTGGTATGTCACTGTCATAGGATTTGTTTTTGTGTACTATTTTGACCTCCTCCTTCGGCAAATAAGCTTTCCACTGCCCCACAAAATTCTTTATTTTTGTCACTACCATTTAGTACCATGTGTAATATATGTAACATTGTATCTTTTTTTTCAATGATACTAGTCTATACCTAAACCTAAGTAACCAGTAATATACCAATATAAATTATATAAAATATCATAGTATACTGGATCTTACTAAAAGCTATTTTCAGAAAATATGATGTGATAAGAGAAATATGGGGGAACTAAAGAAGGAAGTATTTTGATGGATTCATTTTTCAAGACTCCTTTATAAACAAAACACCATGACATCCTGACATGTCTCTACTACAAATGTGTGTAGCTGAACAACTCAAATTTTTAAATTATATCCTTTCTTTAAGATATATCTAATATTTTTATTTCCTGTGTATTTATGGGATTTATTTGCATTTGTTTTTGTGTTCATTTGTGCCTGTCTGGAGCCTACAGACAATTCAATAGGTGTTAGGAACTGGAGTTACAGTCAATTTTGCGCCATCAACTAGGTCTTGGAAGCTGAAATAACAGTTTTCAGTGGCTGGGCCAAGTTTCCTGCCTCTCACTTTTTTCTTTAATTTTCTCTTCTCATTTGTTTTTAATTTCTGAGAATATAATTCGATTACAATATTTCTCTTTTATCTTACCTTATTCCAAAGCCACACATATGACTCTACTCTTTCTGTCAAATCCATAGCCTCTTTTTTGTTGTTGTTGCTTTGTTTTACTAAGAGATTTTGTAATGTATTTGTGAATAATAGTGAATAATCTCGCAATGTGTGCTCTTCACCAGGAAAGCAACCTCTCCCATTTTCCAGGAGGCCCCAACTTTCATCTCTTAACAAAGTCAGTGATATATTCAGTATTTTAGGATTGGATCAGTTTAAGATGGTATAAATACTGAACAAAAACTATGTTCATATGACCTTGTTTACATTCACGAAGACAGGGATATATGTTTGTATATAGTATTTTAGACTATTTAATATAACAATAACTGAGAGTTATAACTACAACACTTGGCTACTTTTACACATAAATGCAATGTGATAGATAATATTATTTTCTTAAGCAAGGGCACTTGCTTTGCTTTGCTTTGGAAATCTTAGGCCACATGAAGCCTCACTTTAGAGAGTTTTAGAAAATCAGGTGTGGTTAATCACCACAGAAAATAAACAAAAATCAAATGTGAAAGTTAGGGAAAGAGGCTGATAATATAAACATATAAGGTAACCAAGTATTTTAAAATAGTAAGAAGAGCTCAAAGATTACAGGAATGAATTATAAGAGCTATGGATTCTCAAGCACTTTTTTTCAAATTGTGGCCTGGTTGTTAGTTATCTCTCTTATCAACATACAGAATTTTATCTGTAAGCAGAAATTTGATGAGGCTGAATTGAGGATGATCCTTATTTGATTAAGCTCATTTGCATTACAAGGAGTTTACGTATTAGACAAGTAATCTGGAGACAAATTGGTCCCTAGGAGATGACTGTTTCTGCTTATGGGGCACTGGCTCACCTTTGAGGGATTTGTGAGGAGAAAGCTTCTCTTCAATAAAGATTTAGCCAACGAATGTAAGCATCCATGTGCTATTCAAAGGGTCCCGAACACATTGTCAATGGTGGAATTTGGCAATCTCTTTAAAGTATTACAGGTACAAGAAAGACACTAACTTTGTTGAACAACTTTGAATGGTAAATGTGGCTATGAAAAGTTGAGCAGAGATCTCACCCAAGATTAAGACGAAGGAAACAAAATACAGAAGGGAGAGAATCTAAGGTTTTATCCTGTTGTTTCTTGCACACTAGATTACTGCAGTTTCAGGTGAAGAGCCATTTCTATTAGGAAAAGCACCATATATTTCTGTTATGATTTTTCTCAAATTTGTGACAAAGCATGGTACAATAAATTGGTATAAATGATAACTCAATAAAATTTATGTAATAAGGGAAAGTATCACTTTATGGAAAGATCAGATGTGGACTATTAAAAATAGGGAACAACCTATGTAGTGTCCTGGATCCATTTTTGTACATCAGTGTAAATATTTGAGACTGTATCAATTTTTGTTCATTTATCATACTTGACAGGTCATTTGAAAAATATATTATGCCCAATCTCACGAGAATAACAGGATTCATCCTTACGGGGCTTTCAGACACCCAGGAGCTACAGACTGTCTGTGGAGTATTCTTCCTGGTAGTGTACCTAACAATCCTGATGAGTAACTTCCTTATCGTCACTCTCATCACCCTGGATCTGAAGCTCCAAACACCCATGTACTTCTTCCTGAAGAATTTGTCCTTGTTTGACATCTTCTTTGTGTCTGTCCCAATCCCAAGTTTCTTTGTCAACAGTCTAACTCACAACAATTTTATTTCCATTCCTGGCTGTGCCTTCCAGATACTTTTTATGACTTCTTTTTCAGCAAGTGAGACAATTGTCCTGACTGCCATGTCCTATGACCGCTATGTTGCCATCTGCTGTCCCCTTCACTATGAGGTCATTATGAGTAGTCGAACCTGTATGCTGATGGTGGGTATTTCCTGGGCTACTGGAGCACTCTTTGGAGCCATATATACAGCTGGAACATTTTCCATGCCTTTCTGTGGCTCCAATGTGATCCCACAGTTTTTCTGTGATGTCCCCTCATTGCTAAGGATTTCATGCTCTGAAACACTTGCGGTCGTTTATTCAAGTCTTGGAATTGGAGTTTGTGTAGGCTTGTCTTGTTTCATCTGTGTTGTGATCTCTTACTTTCACATTTTCTCCACTGTGCTTAAGATTCCTACTACTAAGGGTCAGTCCAAAGCATTTGCCACATGTGTTCCCCACCTCACTGTTTTCACTATTTTCATTGCTGCTGCTTGCTTTGTCTATCTGAAGGCTCCCTCAGATGTACCGTCAGTCACAGACAAGCTTTTTTCCGTTCTCTACACTGTATTACCTCCAGCTCTCAATCCTTTGATCTACAGCCTGAGGAACAGGGATATCAAGAGTACTCTGAGGAGGTTACTTCAAAATCTCTGCCCAAGGGGTTCACTTCATTTAACACTTCAAATTATCTGTCAGTGGTATAGTGCCTCACAAGTTACAAGAAAGTTTTTATAATTTTTGACTTTAGAAAGACAAGTGTGGATACTCATGCTTTTCCTTAAAAATACACATTCAAAATAAGGCTAATACTACCTATGATCAGAAAATTAAGTTATATCTGGCTTGCTTCTGCTCTTCTATGATAAAACTGTCATCATTTGGGGAATATAACTTCCTAAAAGTTTTAGTCTTTTTTTTGTAGTAATTTTCAGTATCTGTCAATTGATACTTCTTATCTGGTTCATTTAGAAACAAAATTAATAACCACCACAACCAAAAAATTTAGATGGTGAAAGTATATGATCAATCACACAGTAAACACATGATTTCTCTGTTAGTCTTTCTTCTGTTTGAAAAAAAACAAACAGTCAGGATTCGAAGCCATAAGCCCAGCGCATTCTGGAGATTTAACTCAAGCCTCAAAGTATTTTTAATGCGAAGACAAACTTGGAGAATGATTATATAAGACAAGTTCTAAAAGAGAAATCGTAGCCAAGCAGATTGAAAGTGCTATCAGAGGGACACGGGAGAGACAGACACTTGTGTGACTATTTTTCTACAGTTTCTCCTGACAGATCTCCTTATAGATGACGGAAGGCTGGCTTTTGAGTCTAAGGAAGACAATATATTCCTTAAATAACCTTACAAGTTCTCGAGAGTCTAAAGAACACAAGTCCCTTTCTGTTATTACAGAAGTGTTAAACAAGGGTTGGGGAGAAAGATTCTCTGACAATCCTTAGAGCCTGGATGTGATCTATAAATCTATTTGAACTTCATGCATTCAGCAGCAGGACTGCAGTTTCTGTGAGTTTTCACCAAAACTGGATATGAAAACATTTTGTTGATGCAACTGCTTTTGAGTCCTCCAGGCTGCTGTAAGTAAGTAATCCCAATAAGCACATTAACTCAAAAAGTTGAATTTGCATAGAATTGCTTTGGTTGTCTGCCTGGTATGCATAGGTGTTGTTTCTCCACAGGATATGTTAGCATAGCAATGGGCAAGGTGTGTTTGTCAGCCTGCCTGTAGTCCAGTAAAGCATTCCATGTAACTGCATGAATATCATTGTTCTATCATCTGCTACAAAGAAGATATGGAACCAAATAAAATTATAATAGAAATCACATGTTTATGAAAAATTTCTCTAGATGAATTTCCTAATAAACCAAGCAGTGTTTTAATTAATGCAGTTTCTGTGTGCTTATTGTGGGTCTGGGAAGCTAGGAACAAACAAGCAGCCTCTGCCTACAAAGTACAATGATAATAAATACAGTTTGTAAGAAAGTGACCCTAATATGTTTCACTCCACTTCAAACTGTACATGATTTTGGTTAATTGCAACTCAATGTATTTTGAAGACCTAATTTACAACAAAAAAAGGAGACAAACAAGACACATCACAACAGATACACCCATTGACATTAACTAATTTATATAGAGAAAATAATTCTACCTGCCCTAACATGGTCCCCACAAATCACTCTCTCCATGGTTTTATGTTCAGACCTCAGATGTTTTTATTATACAGATAAATTTTTATTTGCTAAAATTTTGTTTCTGGTTATTGATTAGTTAATTGATGAGGCCAAGAATGTGGAAAGTCCTCTCTTTCCTTGCCAAACTTCCACACAAAATCTGTGATCTTGATTAAAACACTCTTGTCTATTTCTACATGACTGAGAAGAGCCTAAGCACACATTTGAGAAATTTTGGTCCTAAATGAAATGTCCTGGTAAGCCAAATTTAATTTTCTTTTCTTTTTTTTTTAAAGGTTTATTTATTTATTATGTATAGTGTTCTGTCTGTCTGCATGCTTGCTGGCCAGAAGAGGGCACCAGATCTCATTACAGATGGTTGTGAGCCACCATGTGGTTGCTGGGAATTGAACTCAGAACCTCTGAAAGAGCAGTCAGTGCTCTTAACCTCTGAGCCATCTCTCCAGCCCCAAATTTAATTTTCTAGTTTCTGGTTTTTTTTCTTTTGTCTTGTCTGCCTTTTCTTGTCACACATTATGGCCTCTTTTCTCTGGGTTTAAGCTCAAATAACATTAATTGTAAGCATACACAATGGTGCCAGAACCCATTGCCTTATAAAACTTCTGGTGCAAGGGAAAAAGATGAAAAGGATGTTCAGGAAACATCAAAATAGGGTACAAAGTCCTCTCAACCATAGGTGACATGTAACAAAAGAGAACACTTGGAGAAACATGTTCACTATATTGATAATTCATGAAGAGGTACACATTTTTAGGCACATGACTATCTAGACTTTCACTTTTTTCCAGAAACAATAAAAATTCAGAAAGAAATTATGACTTTTTTTTAAACAAAGAAATTCAATGAATATCCTAGAATTTAAAAGTCACTATTTCTAATAAAAATCCAATAAACAGCAGGATCACCAAATCCAAGGAAGCAAAAAAGAAATGTTGAAGATGAGAAGAGGATTACTTTTTTTAAAAAAAAAATATTCATTTATTTATTTATTATGTATACAATATTCTGTCTGTGTGTATGCCTTCAGGCCAGAAGAGGGCACCAGACCCCATTACAGATGGCTGTGAGCCACCATGTGGTTGCTGGGAATTGAACTCAGGACCTCCGGAAGAGCAGGCAATGCTCTCAACCTCTGAGCCATCTCTCCAGCCCCAAGGATTACTTTTTTAAACATTCAAAGACTTCACTATAAGATCCAAAACTTTGCTCTCCTCCACTTCCTGGTCATCCTGCAGGGGCTATACTGCCCGATACCTCCTCTCTCTTCCTATCCCACCCAGCTTACATCCAGATCCCCCCACCTCATGTCTCCCTCCCTCCCTCCCCTCTTTGGCGACATAGCACCTCCCAGCTCAGACTGCTCAGGCACTGGGACCGAATCCGAATCGGGAGGGCAAAAGGGAGGGCGGTAGTTCCTTTTTCTCCATAGCCTGCCTGCAGCAAGCAGGGTGGGCCCTTGGTTTGCAGGCGACCAAAGCAGCACGGAGATCTGATCTGGACACCAGGAGAGCCATCACTGGGGAGTGACATCACTGGGAAGGTACATCAGTGGGCAAGAAGACCTGATCCTGTAAAAGAAGATCCATAGGGGAGTATTCGGAGGAAGAGATGGGCAGGCGCCAATGCAAGAATTCACCCAACAATCTGAAAAACAACATGAAACCACCAGAACCCAGCGACCTCACAACAGGAGGACATGACCACCTTAATCAAGAAGAAGTAGAAAAAACTGACTTTATGAAAGTGATGGAGGCCCTTAAACAGCATATAAAAACGCCCTTATAGAAATGGATGAGAAGTATAACAGAAAGTTTGAGGAATTGAGTAAATCAGTGAATGATACCCTAGGAAACCAAGGAAAAACAATCAAGCAGATAATGGAAATAGTTCAAGACTTGAAAACTGAAATGGAGGCAAAGAAGAAAACACAAATAGAGGGCCGGCTGGACATGGAAAATCTAGGTAAACGAATAGAGACTACAGAAACAAGCATAACCAGCAAAATACAAGAGATAGAAGAAAGAATCTCAGATTCTGAAGATACCATAGAGAAAATAAACACACTGATCAAAGAAAACAGCAAGTCCAACAAAATTTCATCACAAAACATTCAGTAAATATGGGACACAATAAAAAGAACAAACCTAAGAATAATTGGAGTAGAAGAAGGAGAAGTACAGCTCAACGGTCCAGAAAATATTCTTAATAAAATTATAGAAGAAAATTTTCCCAACCTGAAGAAAGATGTACCTATGAAGGTTCAAGAAGCGAATAAAACACTGAATAGGCTGGATCAAAAAAAAATCCCCTCGCCATATAATAATCAAAACACAAAGCATACAGAATAAAGAAAGAATATTAAGAGCTGCAAAGGAAAAAGGCCAAGTTACTTATAAAGGTAAATCTATCAGACTTACAACTGACTTCTCTATGGAAACCATGAAAGCCAGAAGGTCCTGGAAAGATGTACTGCAGAAACTAAGAGACCATGGATGCAGGCCCAGACTACTATACCCAGCCAAGCTTTCATTCACTATAAATGGAGAAAACAAAATTTTCCAGGATAAAAACAAATTTAAACAATACGTAGCCACAAATCCAGCCTTACAGAAAATAATAGAAGGAAAATCACTAACCAAGGAGTCCAACAATGACCACAATAACTCAGACATCTAGAGACCCTTCACCAGTACAACTCAAAGAAGGGAAATACACAAACCCTACTACTAAAAAAGTGACCAGAGTTAACAACCACTGGTCATTAATATCACTTAATCTCAATGGGCTCAACTCACCTATAAAAAGGCACAGGCTAGGAGATTGGATATGAAAACAGGATCCAACATTCTGATGTTTACAAGAAACACACCTCAACCACAAAGACAGGCACCTACTCAGAGTAAAGGGCTGGGAAAAGGCTTATCAAGCAAATGGACCTAAGAAACAAGCAGGTGTGGCCATACTAATTTCTAACAAAGTTGACTTCAAACTTAAATCAATCAGAAAAGATGGAGAGGGACATTTTATACTCATAACAGGAACAATTCATCAGGATGAAGTCTCAATCCTGAATATCTATGCCCCTAATATAAAAGCACCCATGTACGTAAAAGAAACATTACTAAAACTCAAGGCAGCCATCAAACCACACACACTAATAAGATCAGAAATGAAAAGGGGTACATAACTACAGACACAGAGGAAATTCAGAGAATTATTAGAGCTTACTACAAAAGCCTGTATAACACAAAACTGGAAAATGTAAAAGAAATGGACACTTTTTTTAGATAAATACCATATACCAAATTTAAACCAGGACCAGGTGAACAATCTAAACAGACCTGTTAGTCGTGAAGAAGTAGAAACTGTTATCAAAAACCTCCCTACCAAAAAAAGCCCAGGACCAGATGGTTTCAATGTGGAATTCTTCCAGAACTTCCAAGAAGACCTAATACCTATACTCCTTAATGTATTCCACAATATAGAAACAGAAGGATCATTACCAAATTCCTTTTATGAAG